CACAAGATCTCTTTTCATCAGCCTTGTTCCAAGGGGGACCTGGGAATTGCAAGGTCACAGGTGCTGGCTTGTGAAACTGCTGAATGAATAAGGCAGGAGCAGGTTTGTTTACACAGAAAGCTGGTACACAAACAAACAGCGGGGCAATGCAGGATGAGGAGAGACAAAATGCTCTGCTCTAGCCAGAACTGAGATCAAATGTACTTTCTAAACAAGCTTGATAATAGATCTCCCAGATGTTCAGAACCAGATGTAAAAGACAATGTATGGGCTTACACACTGAACACTGCGAAGCTGGACTTTAAGGAGCTTCGCATGTGGAATAGAAGCTGGATCCCACGTTAAGCACCCACCCTCCCTGCATGCAACATTTAGGATGACTCTGATGATCTGAAAAGAATCCAAAATGTCAATGTCTAAAGCATGAGGCACCTGATGCTACTAAGCTGTTCTGTGCAAAGCTACTTGCAATGAACCAGCAAGAAGTTCTAGGGAGAAGCATAGATTAAAAATCTGCCCTTCAGAGTTTTCATTGCTTTGCTTTATTTAAGGTGCATAGCTCAGAGGCTTCCCTTGACCCCTGCTGTCTTTGCAATTCATTTCAGTCCTGAAGGAAAGGCTCAGGTTTATTTTAGAAGATAGAAGGTGCCGGAGTTTGTCATGATAGGGAATACTGTGTGGCATCTAACATGCTTATTCCACATCTCAGCCGACTTTGAGTAATTTCTGTGTCCCCATGTGTTCAGGTCTCCAGTCTCATGGGCTGCACAGTGCCCATGAGCAAGTAAGAAGTGTCACTATGCTGGCTCACCCGACCTAGCAGCCTCCTGCACAGCTCATATGCCCAGGATGTGGAGGACCTGTTGAGAATTCTCTCCTTACTCTAAGGGGTTAAACAAGTACAGCCAACAAGTCTGGGTTATAGATAACTTGGAATAATAACCATGGCTCCTATACTTGGACTATAAAGCAGTCAAGTATTACAGAGTAGTGGGGCTGAAGATGTGAGTGTCTCCTCTGGTGCTGGAGGGTGGCAGGTATGTGGGAGGTGGGTTTTCCTCCACCAAACCAGCCTAACAAGGAAAATAATATTCAGGCTCCTTCCTGCTTTCTTCAGCTGTGTTGTTTTGGACTTAGGTGGTCTGATGTCTTATAAACAGCTGAGAAATCTACTGCCAGACCTGGCTCTGAGTGTTCACTTGACCTTTGGAGGTGTGCGTGTGGGATGAAGGAGAAGTACACAACAAAAGTTAACAACTAATTTGTAGCCTTTGAATCTCTTAAGGGGACTTTTTTTCTCCATTCAAAGCAGAGAGGACCTGAGGCATCAGCTGTCTCTCAGATATTTCTATTTTAAGCAGGCTGTATGTGATAAGCAAGCAGCAAACATGCTGTTAAAAGTGGAATTTACGGAAAGGATGTGTGCAGTCTGCCCTGCCCAGGAGAGCTCTGTTGGCTGCAGCAGTGCAGTCAGGTGTATCCCAAAGGATATCCACCAGTCATCCCAGTGTTAATCTCTTACAGGATGTACTTCAGGAATATTGCCTCTCCTTGTCTCCCACACCAGCATATAGTCCCCTCTTGGGAAGAGGGGCATACAGATCCCCTCTTGGAAAGGAGCCATCTCCGCCTGCTTTCCACCATCTTGGTGAGGGAGGATACTGAGACCCCTTGCATGGAGCAGGCCACTGTGGTAGTCCTGCTGCAGAGCTGCTATGAAAGCAAAAGTAACCCATGCTTTCATTTTCTCCCTGGCTTATCTCAGCCAACCCTAAATGCTTTGGTAAAGAGACAGTGTGTGCATTTGTGGAGCAGCACAAAGGGCTCTCTAGGCTGTAGTATAACCCAAAATACAGATCCATAACTGATAAGTCACAGAGACAGAGCTGGCCAAAGCTCAAAGTGTGCCAGTAAAGTAGAGGGAATATAGGGTGGGGGGAGGGACGAATGCACTTTTATCTCATTCAACAAACTATCTTATCTGGTGCCAGGGGAAAGCAGTTCTTAGGTACAGCTGCTACGTGTCTTCATATATCTTCTGTGAGCAGCATTAAAAGCTGCTCAAGGCCAGCCACCCACGAGAGTCCAAAGCCCCACAGAGCAGCTGAGGTATAAGAAACACTTCAAAACATTACATTAAGAATTTCATTTCCTGTAATTTATGGAATGACACAGTCATTTACCTAATGAGGCACTGATTTCCAGGGAGGCAGAACTGGCAGAAAATACTGAAAGACGTCTGAGCTATTTCTGAGACAACTGAAATTCTGTATTACAAACTATACACTTTGTTTGGTTTTGTGTTACAGTTATATTTATTATAGACATCATGTTTGTATTTACAACTCTGATGTTTTCTAGAGTGACTTCCCAGGCTCCGTGACCACATGCAGTGTAACAACAGAGCTAATGGTTTTAAACTAAAAGAGGGAAGATTCAGGCTGATGAACGTGAGAAAGGAGTATTTTGCAATGAGGGTGGTAAAACACTAACACAGGTTGCCCAGAGAGGTGGTGGATGCGCCATCCCTGGAGACATTCAAAGCCAGGCTGGATGCGGTTCTGCCAACCTCATCTAGTTGAAGATGTTCCTGCTCATCGCAGGGGGTTGGACCAGATGACATTTCAGGTCCTTTCCAACACAAACTATTTTGATTTGGTGCCAAGGTGTATGACAGCTTTCTGAGATACCTGTTGAAAAGAAGAACGTGGGTGAGGTTGGGGTTCCAGCCCCATAGTGGGAATATTGGCTGCTCAGGACACCATGTCTTGTCTCAAAATTGAACTTCTTTTCCCTTATTTGTCCACTCGGTGGTGCTAAAACACCACCAGCCCCTTTTCTGCATTTCCTCTCTGGCCTGTGTCAGGCAGAGAATGTCTGCGCTCCCCAGGGATGTCCAAGTCACCACTTCAAAAAACTACCACTGCAAATCCAATAGCCAGGAAAACTAATGAGCTCCCTGGGTCACTGCTTCATACTCTGGTGCTTTGTTTCCAATGGGAGAGAGATAAGCGACACAAAGGACTTGTCATACCTAATTACACAGGAAGAGATAAGGAAACATACAATCTTTCCCTCTGATGTTGATTGTAATTTAATTAATTTGTGATTCCATCTTGGTTTTAGAGAAATGGAGCAATGTCACTACTAAAACTACTTTCATTTTCAAAAATAGCTGGCAAAGAATTGACACTGCTAGGCAAAGGTTGTGGGAAACATAATTTTTCTCCTAATCAGCTAATACAAGAAAGATTGCTGAAAAAACCCCGAAGTTTAACATGCAACACACATCTCCTCAAGTTTAACTACTTCTAAACTAATGTGAGAGATGAGCCTCAGCATCCAGCACAGAGCCCATCCCATGTGCAGCAGCACACAGAAGAAGGATCAGGATTTGAACAGCCAGAAATGTTTCCTAATCTAATTCTCAGTCAACAACTCACCAAATGGCAAGTGACTCAGTATGCCTGAAGGGGAGGACTCTCTGAATTTAAAATAGGTGAGAAAAACCTACATAGCATGTGATGTGGTTACATCTGTTGTATTAATTCTTGTAGTATAACTCTGTGGACAATTGCAATAGTATTTCTGAACTTTGGTTTTATGAAAAAAACCACAAAACCAACCCAGCTCCAGGCATCCCCAGCTCTCATCAGCACATGGGTGGTTAAATACTTGCAGATAATGCTGTACTTTGTTCTCCCTTTTCCTACCAGTTTTTACCTTATTAGCTTCCTGTGACCAGAAGCACTGTTGGGGTTAATGGACTAACTTGAAGTTTATGACTTGTGGTGCACGGACCTCTTAGACATTTGAATTCTATGTGAAGAGCCCAAGAAAAAGCTCTTGCTCCAGGAGTGTGGTCCAGTGCCAGAAACATGACCATGTTGTCCTCTGCACTGGGTACCGCACTGGATGATGTGGGTGACACTAAGCCAGGCAGTGCCCATGCTCTGCCCGGGCTGGGCCTCTTCCAGGAAACCAGGCTGCCCAGGAAACATGGATATACCTCAATCCTGGCTGCTCTTGTGCTGTGAGTCAACAAGACCCTGCAACTTCTGCTCTTTCAGGGAGGGAGATGGCTGTTTGTGGCTCCTTTTGGGGCACAGATGGGGAAAGCGTGGCCTCGTGAGCTCTGCAGTGGTTGGATGCAAGAGGTGAAGGGGTGAGGGGTTTGGGGACAAGAGGAATGCTGAGGAGAAGGCAAAGGTGTGAGTGTCTGGCTGTATCGCTGCCCTCTCTTCACAGCAGTTTTTTGTAGAGGTGTGTGGTCTGTAGTGTTTTGATGACTGTAGCTACCCTGAGGAACCCTAGGGCTGGACTTTTGCTGCTGAACACACTTCTGCTGGAAAAAACAGATATTCACCACAGAAACACTCTGGCTTTGCAGCAGCAGTGTGCCTCTCTCCTCTGTGTCCTTGGCTCCATAGGCTGAGGAGATCCATCTTCAGCCCATGAACTCTCATCCCTTCAGCCTCAAACATGATTCTCACAAACTTTGAGGGTAATCCTGCCAAATTTCCTGCCTCCTCTGGAAAGGTGGTTCCCCAGAAACCAATCCGAAACCTCACTGAGGATTCCACTGACGCCTCTTTGGCAATAAAATCCCACTGTCATGCTGCATGACAGATCATCCTCTGGAAAACGCAGCCCTTGATGGGAACAGCCAGATCATTTTGATTAGCTTGACTCTTGTCTTGTGAAATCTGGCTCCATGCCACACTTCTTTAGTGTGTTCAAAGTTCAAAGTTTCTACGTGTTTGAACCCACCCATAGACTGCTCAGCTTTCTGAACTCCAGATGTGTGAAACACGCTGCAGCACTTCTCTGCGGTACCATCCTCCCCATGAGCAGTTTAGCACTATGCCCTCTTTTCCTGTCTGGCCACCTAAATAGCAGTCACCTACTGCATTTACTTGTTGGACATAGAGAATGAGGACAAGATGGCAGAACTGCTGCTAACATGTGAGATGCAGCTGCCATGTACCTGGCAGTTTGATGCTCAGAGATGGCAGTGGAGACAGCAGTGAGCCACAGGGAGGAGCAGCCCAACCCCAGAGAAGATGCTCCCTGCTGAGAAGAGGCTCTCTTAGGACCACTGCATATGGCTACCAAGACTGGGCCTTCTGTGCTGGTGTTGTATGAGTTCAGGCAGGCCAATTGGACATCTACAGATAGTTTTTAGTGTCCTACTAAGAATATGCAACTGTCATTGCTTATTCTGTGTAATTATTCCAGTAAAACAATGACCTTTTCCTGATTATCTTCTTAAAAAACCACACTTCCAAGCAGTATGTTTAAAAAAAGACAAACAACTAGCTCATGGGTTCTGATCACTTGACCCGGAAGGGAAAATTTCAGTTTCATTTCTCTGCAGTTATATCAAATCCTGTATTTAATGAAACAAAAGTGAAAATGGACAGAAACTAAAAGACAGAGGTATTTGAAGATCTGCTGTGTTTACTCATAATTTTCTGCTGTAGAATTTCTTGTACTTTCTGCAGCTCCTAGGAACAGCAGCAGAGTGCCCCAGTCAGACCACTGGTCCAGTTCATGGGAACAACTGTTGGGTTCCTGCCTTTGATTCATAAACCACATACTGAAAAGCATGTAGATCTGGAGCAATCATTGACTTATCTGTAGTTTTCCCTCATCTGCCTATTTTATTTACGTTAGTCTCCTATGATGTTACAGAAACATGAGACAAAAAACAGATTTGTTTTGTATTACCTGTCCTAATAGCCTCAGAAGAGGCTCACTAGGGACTTAACACTCTCACCTCCTTGGCAATTAACATAGAGAAAAAGGCACTTCAGCATGGTGCATTTAATCCATTTTTAAACATCTATTTCAGGATTTAATAAAAAATGCATCCTAAATGCACCTTTTTCTTCTCATTTGACTGTAAAGACTGATCAGATATATATACCTATTCTACAGTGTTTCTACATTTTACTAGATTATTCTCTTGCTAATGACATCATTGAAACCTTTGTTCTTCTCTTGCCTGACATTTAAATTCTGCACCCTTTTTCTTGGTGTTTCCTAAGAGTTTTGCTGGTCAGCATCTCTCTTTGTTTTCAGAGCTGCTGTAGCATGCCTTCTTTCTATAGCTTTCTGTGGTGTCTGACATAGTGTTATATTACAGAAGACAAACATGCATTGCTTTGCAGGGGCTTGCCTTTTGTTCAACTATTTATTGAGCAGAAGAAATTGGTTTGCAATGAATTTTGTAGCTTATCTTTGTCTGTGAAAAAGCCATAGTCTTTCTTTCTAGGTCTGGGCAAATATGCTGTAACATGGGAGGCCTGACAACTTGCAAACGACGTAACTGACAACTTGTCAGCTGAAAACCACTTGTGTGGAATAACTAAAGGAACAAAACAACGTTTGGCAAACAGGTAATTGTGTAAATGTGCTCATTTTCTGTGTGCAGCAGATTAACATTGGCTAGAAAGAAGCTGACTGGAAGGAGAAAGAGAGATTTGAAGGGCAGAAACAAAAGAATAGCCCTCACTGTGTATATGTATTTCAACCTACAAAGCCTTGGCCCACAGTTCTACATGTCTGTGTGCAGGACTGAGCTGCTTCATATGTACATGCAATGTTTCACTTCAAAACAAATTATTTTCTTAATTACTCCGTAGGACCCAGCAAAAGGGAAATCACTGTGGTAACACTGAATGTGCTAAGGTCTGAAGTATGATGCATCTTTTATAGTGATTGCTGCATATTGAGAAATGCAGCTTCAGAAGTGGTAACCTCATGAGCTGCCCAGTCATGAATACCACTATTGTTTCCAAGTAAGAAAAACAGACCTGCCGAAAACAGAAACTCTTACAGTTCTGGGCTGATGCCAAACTGTTGTATATTCTTTCAGAGAAAGATACCCTGCTTTATTTTGGATATGTTCTCACAGTAGCTTATTTTATAATTATGTGGCCAAATGAAGGAGACAGCATTCTGGAGACCTACAGCATGTGTTTAACAAAGCTCAGACAAAAACCAGGCTCACAGTTAGATATCCATTCAACACTGCATTAGGAAGAGTCTTGAGTTAACCTTCTCTAGAATAAAACCAAGGAAGTCATAAGGAAGTGGCAAGAGGCCAGTATCAAACCACAAAGTGTTCGTATTCAGACCCTTACATTTGTACTTCTCAGTGGGCAGGTGGTGCTAGAAGTGATCCTGTGCGCTTAAAGCCTTGAAATGTGTGATACTGAGACAGATTTCTTCTATGCCAGCCCTCAGACACTAACTTAATTTTCACTATTACCAGAGCCTGAAGAAGGCACAGCACCTTGAATCTCACAACTGATGGTCTTGTCTATTTCAAGTCTGTGCCTTACTCTCCAAGCAGTATAAAATCCATTTCAGGTCTAGTTACGACACTAATGTGTTCTAAAGTAATGACTCCTTAAAGCCTCAGAGGCTGGGGCTTTGTTTTCCAGACACTGTACAAGCATATTTTATCAGGTTTTCCTTTTTCTTGAAAACATGCACTCATTGCTTTTGGATGTTAGCAAAGGGGTGGTTTATTTTGTTTCTCTAATCTCACGTAATGGAAGGACAGGAGAATCTTACTTCCTCCCTTCCCTTCACATTCTTTGATCCCAGTGATTTTTAGGACAGTGTTTTTCCAGCTGAAAATTGTCTCTCTCTGATGAAACTACCCAACTCAGTAACAAAGGACCCTTTGCTCTTCCAAGGCTGCTGTATCCCCCGCCTCAGCAACACTGTAGGGTAACGAACTCAGGATCTAGCTGCTGCTCCTCAAGCCAGCTGCACTCATAGGCACTTCAGATTTCTGAGCCAAGAATGTTTCTATTTGGATGCAAACTTTTTTTCTCCAAAGAAGGACTTGAGTGACTTTTTGGATTATCATAACTAGTAACACTGAACTTCAGATAATAGGCCCAAATGGTTGCATTAGAGGTAGAGATGGCTTCCATTGCATAAATAGATTATCTGCTACCTGGGATGTCTGGTACTGGCTGGTACTGAGATAGATGGATTTTAAGTCAGTGCAGGCATGGGTTGATGCTAAAAAAAAAGACAACACCCAAAAACAACAATGAAACAAACAAAAAAACCAAACCAACCAAAAAAAAAAAAAAACAACAAAAAAGCTTGGCTTTTTCTTTTTGTATACACTGTGTTTCTTAATATTTTGAGAAAGGACTTGCAGTTGTACTGAAAACCTTGTATTTTCAGTACTTACAGGAGTAAATAAATGAAATCGAATGTGCGCTACTGAAAGTGCACATTACATAGTGCATATTAGATAGTGCACACACTTAGACTTTAAATTTGTAATATTTTCATGAGAGTGTATTTGAAGGAAAAACATAGTGACAAGGTGAAGAAGGATGATGAGCCTTTGCTAAGAGGTTAAGTTAGTATTTTCTGGCTAGCAGCCACAAATTGAATATTAACCTCTGATTTAATTTCTGAGGTAGCTGGCCTTTTAAATAAAATGCTTCAGCACACCAATGATCCAGTTCCTAGGTAAGGTGTCATGCAGTCACACTGAGCGTGATTCACAAACCACTTGTATATTTCTGGACCTAGTAGTAGTCTTAGTAGTAAACCTCCAGTGTTATCCTCAGGAAATCAGTGCCACATCTGATTCTCTTTCAGTTGAAGGAGTATTGACATACAAGATCCCCCAGTAATGTGAATAGCAACAGCTAGTTCAACTAAAGCAAATTAAACACTTTAGGAAGGATGTAAAATTTGCAGAGGAATGATAAGGAATAAATGAGGGAAATAAGATCTAGAGAAATACTCTTACTATGACAGCAGGAAGAAACCTGATTTTTAGAATGAGAACTCCTTTGGAAGAATCAGGAATGTGGACACCTCTGAATTTACAGAGTTCAATGCAGCTGAATAGCAGCCTTTTAAATTCCTTGATATATAGGTGGCCCTCTTCCCATATAAATGTGTCTTATTTTAGTCCAATCCTCTCTGTTTTGGCATTTCTCACATTCCTTTCTCCTGTTGAATGTAATGTTTGTTATACCATCAGGAAGAACAAAATTGTCTTCCTAGTATCAGAGAAAAGTCAGTAAGTTCCCAAATCTAAAAAAAAGGAACTGAACTCAGCATTTACCAAGATCTTCCAGCAACTCATTCCAACTCTTTTTATCATCCAAGTAAGTAACAATGAAAGAGAGTTTCTGACTGATCTAAAAGCCTCAACTTACTCAGTGTCGATACATTCTTGAGACTCTTTATGACTTATGGGAGAATTTAACTAAGCACTACACTTGAGAAAACCCACAATTGATTCAGGTAAACTTTAACCTTTGTACTCATGATCCTTTGTGTAGGAGGATGTGGAAAACAAAACTGTCTTCAGTGCAAAGGGAATGGAAACTTTCCAGATTGCAAATATACTGACCTTCAGTAAGGGAGCAGCGAGATGTACGCTCTGGGTTTTGCTTTTTTAATTCCTTAAACATTTGAGGTTATTGCAATGAGTCATGGGTGCCCTTCATGTCTAGATATGATATTTGAGTCTTATGAGCTTTTTACACTTTTTTTTTCCTGGCTATATGCCTAAATGCAAATAAAAAAGTCTAATTAAAAAAAAAATAATAATAGTTACTGCTGCTCTAGAAGCAGGTGCCCTGTTGTGTTTAGCCAAAACAAAGTGGGCAGTTTGCATCCACATAATTTATCAAAACAGAGCTTTCTGATCTCATTTACAGCATGTCAAAACTACTCTGCTTGTGGGACTTTGATTAATTTGTAAATTAAATAGGCAGTGCAACTTTACCTGCAGTTAATATTTCCTGCATCAAGTTAGGTTTTCCTAAGTTTTCCTTAATATCTATTTTTTTTTTCTTACTTCCCTCATCATTATCTTCCTCTTAAGACCTGAAGGAGTTCATGAATCACATCTTCCAAAGAAAATTTGTTCAGTAGTTTTTTGTGGAGTGCTAATTGCCATCTTAGATCAGCTTAACAACCAAAACCCACCCCTTTACTTCTGGAAAGGAGCTTGATGCTCAAGATGAAGCTAATGCTTCAGTGTTCAGAATAAGCAGATCATGTTTCACAGAGTCATTTGATACCTCTGGTAAGCTGAAAACTGTGGGCACTAGCCAGCAGTAACTTTCTATTTTTTAATACAGGTTTTATAGGTGGGTTTAGATTAGTGGGAGAGTAGGTATGTAAGTCTCCTGCCATCTCTAAGTTCACTAGCTGAGTGGCGTGGCTTTCTGATGAAGCCTTGTGAGGGCTTGGAGAAATGCCCTGTTTCTCTCTCATAAAAGCAGTTTGGAATTAAGGTAGTTTCTGTAATTTTTATACATAAACAGTGAGGTAAGCTACAGATACACTTGAAGTAATATATTTAATGTTTTAGGGAGTTTGTTTTCCTGCCTACCTGAACACTTTCCCGTAAAATGAAAAAGCAACAATGGGATACACTCTTGGCCAGGATTGAAGACCAGAGCAGTATGTTGAAACTGCAGATTATGTTCTTATCTTATCCTTGGTAGCACTGACATAATGAATTTGCTACTCTGAGCTGGTTGTATCTCCAGAAAACACAAGATAAATCCCATAGTTAATATTTGTGCATGTCAGCTTGTTAAGCTTGTCCTTAAGTTGTGTAACTGGTGAGGTTGAAATCCTAGTGAGCTATTCCAACAGTCACTTATGGTGGTGAGAAACTAAGTAACTATTTTTTTTTTCCTGTAATTTATGGGAGAGAAGAGCATTAGCAGTGGAAAGGAAAGTAACAGTGCCTTTTCTTCCTCTCTTCCCCTTCATAGATGCTTAGGGGTGTGTTACAGAGGCACAATTAAAGCCAGGCTTTTTAATGCTGTGGAAGACAGAACACTGAAGAAGGTGTCAGACAAGAATGACAGCATGGGGAGACTGACATACATCAGGCCTCTCAGAGAAGACAGGGAATGTGGTGACATCAGGTACTTCAAGGGCTGTTTGTGCTATTTCATGCTAGCATTGATAATGCACTCATGTTGTAGGGTTACTGTGTTTCACCTCCAGAAATTTGCTGCATCAGCTTTGTAGTTTCAGTCAACACTGCCATTAGGTCTATTTACATAACCTGTGGTAATATGGCAGGCAAACTTTGATTAGCACTTCCACCTCTGTGATTAGAATGGACATCACTAAGAAAGCAGTTCTTTGGTTGAGGACAACTTTGAACGCATGACTTTATCATAGTCCGCAAAGTGTCTTGCTTCACTTTATTAATCGTACTGGTTTTTAAGTCAAAGCTGTGATCTTGACAGCTTGTTGCAGCAGGTGAAAGTGCTGGAATAATAAGGTTCAGTCCCACTGTGATGTGCCACAGCCTGAGAACCAAAGCTGAAGCCTGCATTTAGCTTGGGTAGGACCTGAGCACTACTGCTGTCCTCTCTGCCTCTGGATGGTGACCTCAGTCCCAGGTTGAAGCCAGACTCAGGATGCTGATGATAATGCACTGTTCTCGGGAATTTCAGTCCTAAGAAGAAACTTACAGTCATGTTCTTACTTCATGTCCTTTGGAAAATGAGTATCCATAATTTCAGATAAGTTGGTGGGTAACATTCCTTCTTACCTCTTTCTCTGAAAAGCTAAGGAATTGCTGGGAATGGAGAACTAGGGGAGTTGCTACTACACTGGAAGAGACAAAGCAAGAAGAAAGAGTCCATCAGCTCTGGGCAGCTACACCTCTTTTTCTGCTATTACAAGCACTTGAACTTGCTACGTTGTTCCTCCTACTCCCTTCTTGTTGCGACAGGAGGCTTGACAAGCAGAATGGGAGGGCCTGAAACTGCTAACCTGGACACCTGGGAGCGGAGGAAAAGCACTATTTTTATTGGCAAGTTGAAAGGAAGCAAAGGGTACAGAGGGGAATGGGCAGATATGTGGCTACATGTGGAGTTACACACATACGTATGTATACAGAGCTTGGCTTCCTAACAGTTCCTCACATCCAATAAAACTCTAAATCCCATACCCCATCACTCTCAGCTGTCTCAGTTTTTAAATCTTGTCTTCTCCATGTCAGCAGCTTCCTTAAAAATGACCTATCAGTGATCCAATAAGCATTTTAAATTTTTGAAAGGAGTTTTTAATCAGAGGTATTTTTGTGCAACTGCTGAAACAGCAAATGTTTTTATGTCTGTAATTACGTGGAATTAAATGGTGTCGCAGTAGAAGCTATGCTGTACTAGCTGCCACTGCAGCTGGCTGTTTGAAACTTGCCAGTATTGTTATACATGATAAATGTCATCACATTACAGGAAACTTGAAAGAGTTTTAGGAAATATATGACTGAGTCTCCTGCAAATTCATCTTACTGGAACTCTGTTACAGAAAATTACCTGCTAGTGTCATAATGCTCTGTTCAGTTATACTTCCTCTATTTTTACTCTTCAGTTCTCAGTTATGTAAACTCCCTTCAACCATTCTGACATTACTAAATGGGGCTTCTTAAAATGTATCTGCTGTTTCTTTATAAGAAATGACAAGACCATGACTGTGTTGGGAGATTCTGAGCTTCGGTCAGTGATCTGGTACCTGCTGTGGAAGTTCTTCAGATTTCTGTACGCAGACAATGTCTTAATCCCCTCCAGCGGAAAGTTATATTGTGTTTTGCCTTCATTCTGGTCTTCCCCTGTGACTCTCAATGACCAGTCTTTCACCGGTAGCGCTGTTTCCCCTCTTGCATTCTGCAGAGCTGCCTGTATTAGTAAAAATGACCAGTTTCACGCTGCTGCCGAGGAGAACTAGGTAAACCTGCCGCGTTTGCAGCAAGTCCCCTCATCGCCACTCCTTCGCGGTCAGCAAAGCTGTAGGAGCGGGCTCCGGTCGCTGTGGGGAGAACAGTGCCAGTGAGAACCCAGCTGCCACCCGAGGGCCTCCCCTGCAAGCAGCCGCACTTGTTTCCGTCAGTGCAGCACCATGTCCCGCAGGCAAGCTCCCCTTCCCGGCGGGGTGCAGAGGCCACGCTGCCCGTCAGCCCCACGCAGCTGGAAATCCCCACTACGGGGAAGCACGCTCCTCCGGCGGGTTTCCCCGGTCGGGAGGAAAGTACCTAACGTCCCGCTGATACCATGGCCTGAGCCTGCCCTGCCGGCACCCTGCCCCCTCAAAGCAGCAGGGGCGGGGCTGAGGGGCAGGGCGGAAGGAATAGGGGTAGGGCTGAGGGAGTAGGGCTGAAGGAACAGGGGTAGGGCTGAAGGAACAGAGGGGTAAAGCTGAGGGCGTAGGGGTAGGGCTGAAGCCTACGGGCGACCCCGCGGAACGCTCCTCCCGCCAGCGGCTGACCACACGGAGGCGCTCGCTGGGGTACGGGGCGTGCAGAGACCGGGGTCCGGCAGGAGGTGCCGAGGCTCCGGAGCCGACGCTCCTTCCGGCCGCGCATGCGCCCGGCCCTTGCCGGGGCTTTCCCGGTGCGGCATTTCCCAGACTGGGCGGTGCTGGGTGGGGGCGATTCTTCCTTTCCCGTGCCCCTTGCTAGCCGCCCTATATAGGCCGGGGCGCGCAGTAGGGCTGCTTGCTGTGGGACGCTCGGCTGCAGACCGTGAGTGTGGGGGAAGGGTGCGGGCGGGCAGGGCCGCGGCCTGCTGGGACCCTGCCAGGTTTGAGCTGTTGTTGCTGTGTGGATCATGACGGGAGCTGCGCTCGCTGACGGGATGGCGGGCAGGAAGATGCGCGTCAGTGGCGCCGCTGGGCTCGGCCGGGGCTGTGGAGAACAGGGGCGGGCTGTGGGCTTGCTGTGCCCAGGCAGGGGTGACCGGTGGAGGAGCGGGGCGTTGCAGGATGACCGCTCAGGAGAGGGACTCGGTCCCTGCGGGAGGCCAGGGGCGGCAGCGTGAGGGTGGAGGAACAGCGGGCGAGGCCCGGCCGTGCCGGTGAGGACCGCGGAGGAGCACGGAGCAGCTGCTGTACCCCGCTGGGGACGTGATCTTGAATTTAGCGGGAAGTGCCCAGGAGGTGAACGTGTTCTACCTGGGTTATAGCGCAAGAGCAGAAGAATATTGAGCTTTGAGGCTGCTGCACTTTAAACTTAGCTGCACTTTAAATTTCACTTCTCTGGACTTAACTTCTTGGTGATACTGCAGTATAACAGAAGAAAAAATGCGCTTAGACATTCAGAGCAGTTTGGTATCTGTGGAAATCACGGCTGCTCAGGGCTATAGTGGAGGATAATACTGGAAGAGTGTTTGGCAGAAAATGACCTCAGTATCTCATTTTTAAGTGAACCTAAATGTTTTAAGATTAGTAGGGTCTCAGTGTGTTCTGATATTTCCAGCGTTCGCTCTGAGGGATCTGACTTTCTCCAGTACAGAAGCTGGATTAATATCTTGGATTAGCAGAATTCGTCTATGCTGATACGTTTAGACCTACCATTGGTGTTAAAGGAGTGGATTGGTTTAAAACGTTTGTGACTTATGTGCTCGGTGATTAAGAAGCTAGTAGTAATAGTGTGACCATCTTAAGAACAAATCTGCTGAGAGCTATTGAGATGAATAGGAAATGCTAAGACGTTTTCTGGTAGGTGTTTTTCCTAGGGCCAATTCTAATCATGACAACTATATCTGTTTTGAGTCTTTCCTGGAAGAACTTTTAAGGAATTGGTGCTGTAAAACAGACTGCCCTATATGAATAAATGTGCAGTTACGTATTTAAAAATGTTTGAATTTCATCTTTGCTTTTACCTGAGTTTTTTATTAAGTTCAATTTTGCTGATGTCCTGTGCTTTAGGTATCTTTGGACTTGCCTAAATAAGAAATTTCAGTACTCTTAATTTAACTTAGTGTAATAAAACTGGATCTTCATTGTTTGAGAATCTGCAAACCCATTTAAATGGATGCATCTTCTTTCCTACAAGCTACTATGTTCAGTTATACAGCTTGTGATCAAGCTGTAAGATTCATCTGCTTGCCAGAAAGGTTTAGCAAGTGAATGTGGATTTAATATTTAATTGTGGATTAAATAGATTTGCATATGTCAGGAACCGGGAAATTTTGTAAAAACCACTCCATGTCACAGTATGTAAAGTTGGATCCCTGAAACTTTCCAGCTAACATTACAAAAAAAGCTTGAGATGTTAATATTTCAATTTGTGTAGTCTCTGTTTGCATAGATATTACACTATCCTGATTTTGTGTATTTTGAAATGCTCCTCTCTCTTTGCAGGTTTTGTTCTGCACGAAAGAATTCAATGATTGAAACTATAGGTACTTACAGTTTCTTCTTGTGAACACTCAGCATAAATATGGAGGCGTAAGCACCTTAAAGGGACATCAGTCTGAACTCTGGGAGGTAGTTCTGTGCACAAATAAAGAAACTAAGACTTCAAATTTTATTTCTTTTTTAATCTGAGGATTCTGTTTGCTTCTGTATGCCATAAGCATGGCATACAGAAACAACTTATTTCAGTTGCATAAAACATTAGAATGTCCTGACACAAAGCAATTAATTTATCTGAAATTTGATAACTCTATACTTGTAAGTAAGGCACCGGGTTAAAACTGAAATGCTTTGCTCTTTGTGCTGACAGTAATGTAAACAGAAAAGCCTGGGGTTACTCCAGGCTTGTTAATGGACAGTTCATGTATCAGAGGCAGTGTAGAGGATTTTTTATCTCGTAGCTGAATAGTCAAGATACGTGGAGTATAAGCTAACTTCTTTAGTCTCAGCAACCGTTACAACAATACACAGAAGTTGAGGGTTGGGTTTTTTTTTTGGTGGTTTGTTTTTTGTTTTTTTTTAAGTCTAGTAGTAGCAAGTACTCCAGTAATGTCAGTTCAGGGGCTCTTTTTTCATCTGCTGTTTGAGCTTGGTAAACCATTATTTTCAGCATCCTAATGAGGTATACAAACTAAAAATCTTTACATGTGTAAGCTGTCTATGGTGAAATAGTTCTTAAACCACGTGACACATGTTTTAGTTAAAACTGGTGTAGTTTTAGTTGCACCTCATTTTAGTTTCTTTATTGACAAAGGATTTTGGGAAACCCATTTAAGGTTTTCCCTGTCTGGATCCCACCTCCACTAGCCTGACAAATTGATACTGCTTTCCTGCATATACAGTACAAGGAAAGCATGTTATGACTAGATGTTACAAGGGAAAGTCCTTTTTGACATGCTTTCTTCAATTCCCAAAATGGGATAGGGCAGCTTTTGCACAGGTAGCAGTTGTATGAATTAAAATACAAAAACTTCCCAGATGTTTAAAGGCTGTTAATCATGGAACTTATTCTGTTCACATATGCATTCAAAGTTGCACATTAAAGTATTTAATTTTCAAGCTTTCTTTTGTACAGACAGGAGTTATTCCAAATTGCCTTTAGTGCACACAACTACCTCCCAGAGGAAGACTTGTCCCATTCTTCCAAATATAGTCCATTATGAACATAGTGGAGAACAGCCCTTTCTTGGCTAGCATCATGAAGCGGAGTGCTATGTGTGGTGAACTGAAGTATGACTTAACTTGTGAGCTCTACAGAATGTCAACATTTTCTACTTTCCCCATTAATGTGCCGGTGTCAGAACGGAGTCTTGCCCGGGCTGGGTTTTACTACACTGGTGTGGAAGATAAAGTTAAGTGCTTCAGCTGTGGCTTAACATTGGACAACTGGCAACCAGGAGATAATGCTATGGAAAGACACAAACAGCTGTATCCTAGCTGCAGTTTTATACAAAGCACGCTTTCAGTTAACAACCTTGGAGTGCCCTCTCATTCTACCTTTTCGTCTCCAGTTGTAAACAGTCTCTTGCCATCTCTACATTCCATGACACTTTCTCAAGGTTCAGAACAAGTTGGATATTTCAGTGGCTCTTTTTTCAGTTTTCCTCAAGACCCAGTAACTGGTAGGGCAGTTGAAGACCTTTCATTCTTGAGACCTAAGTTTCACAATCCTCACATGAGTACAGAAGATGCTAGGCTACGCACTTTTCACTCATGGCCACTGACGTTTATCTCGCCTGCTGATCTGGCAAAGGCTGGACTTTACTACCTGGGGACAGCAGACAAAGTTGCTTGTTTCAGCTGTGGCGGTCAGCTGAGTAACTGGGAACCAAAAGATAATGCTGTGTCAGAACATCGGAGACATTTTCCGAATTGTCATTTTTTGGAGAGCCTCACCCGAGACCAGCAAAGTTTCAATGTTTCAAATGTGAGCATGCAAACCCATGAAGCACGTGTTAAAACTTTCATAAATTGGCCAACTAGAATTCTAGTTCAGCCTGAACAGCTTGCAGATGCTGGTTTCTACTATGTAGGTAAGAAACTGAAGTCTCTGGGTTTACTCATATTGCTGTGTCATCATTTACGTAAATGGTGTGAATGTTTGCTAGATATTTTGCCTTGTTTCTTTTAAAGGCCACAACGATGATGTCAGGTGTTTTTGCTGTGATGGTGGTTTAAGATGCTGGGAATCTGGAGATGATCCGTGGATTGAGCATGCAAAGTGGTTTCCAAGGTAACTTGAAAATCTTCAGCATAATTTGTTCACATCCTTGATACTTCTGATTTGGACAGATATGTACTGTGCTTCATAGTTCTGTTTAACTTCACTATGTGATGTACAAATTCGCTCCTTTATTTGGATGTATTTCATGTACCTCTGTTTAAAAGCTCTTAAGTGCTAAGGTGACCTTAAAACATTTCTTCATTAAGCATGATATTTAATGCTTTCCACTTCATAATGAAAAGCTTGTGAGGCTGCATTGTTAATGAGTGTACTTACCTAAGAGAAGCAGTCAGCAGGCGGACTGGGGAGAGCAAAAGCTGCTGAGAAATGAAGTAGGAGGAACATCTAACCCTCTTGGTGTAGTTCTGTGCCCATGCTGAAAGCTATTGAACCAGTCTTTCAGCTCGTGCAGTTTAGTTTCATAGGCGTGGTAAGGCTTGTG